TTCCCTGGCCCAAGATTTGTATATATAAAGTGCATACAATTCCTTGTGTCGTTTCAATACTCATGACGAAAAATTACTTCCAGTCTTTCTACTGAAGTTCTGTTCTCTAAAGTTTCACCTACTATTCTTGGTAAACAAAAGGAGATTAGCCCTTTGAGCACTACTGGATCTAAAAAAGCCTCTACCAAATCCACAATTTATTACGTTCCTGTTTCTAGTCAGTGAACACTCCTAAAATGTGACAAGGATTAATTAGGTATTTGTAAATTACTGCTGAGTATTCCCATTTCAAATACATTTCTAGATGGCCCTTTATCTAGTCCCTTAGAAGTGTTTTGGTATCTCTACTATGAAGTCAAATTTACAAATCAACACTTTACTTAATCCTTCACTAAGATCAGGCTCAATATTGTAGTAATACCTTTCAACTCCATCCATACCTTCCCTGTTGTGAAATAATCGAATGCAGTTTTCCACAATCTCAATTCTATTGTATAAATTCTATTCCTTCAGTGTTCTAAGATGGAATGGGTCAGGTTCTAGAGTTTGGGCATAGTTTAAACATTTTAATTTTCTCAACCACCCTTTTGGGCATGTTGCTTTTGATTTCCTTCAGCATTTTCTTTTCAAGTCCTAGGAAATTGATATCAGTTTCTCTCTCTTTTTGCGACAGTAACTGAGACCAAGAATTTTATTTTATTTTTTAACATATGTCTTTAGGCTCTAATTAATCAATCCATCCCTATACAGCAAATCATCTAAGCACACGCTTAAGTGCTGTATTAGGTCCTTAGTAAATTATTCTAGCCAGGCCTTACAGGCTCTGACGCCTGGCTCTCACGGATTTGAAAAATGCCTTATTTGTCTCTCTCTCTTGTGCAAGCTTCCTTTCACTCCACATTTGTTTTTCTTTACATATTTATTCTCCATCTTTGATTCGTAATCTTCCTCACCACCAGAAGTTTTATTCTTCCATATTTTGATTACTTTTTATTCTTCCATGTTCATCTATATTGGATATGTTTTAATACTTTGCATGCTTTCAGCTAAATGAGACTCATAACTCAAACATACAACACTTTATTGTCCAGCACCTATTATCGTAGTTTACCTGTCTGCTCTTCACATTTTCCCCTCTTCATTTCTTCTATTTTTCCAAAGTTTGTTCCATTGAACTCTCACCCTTATTTCCCTCTTTTTGGTCTTATTATATATCCATCTAGCTAAGGCATTTCTAAGGCACTCATCACCACCGATCTAAATGCCAATTAATTAAATTACAGTCAGTATTCTTTAGCTACCCGCTCACCTCTTCATCCAATTGTGCCTATGCACTACTCAAAAGTAAAGGTCATACACTGCTCTTAATCCGTTTGCTCAACTCCCAGTGGAGCCTAGGGTGACTTATTCTACACAAGGTCTTAGAGTCTGTCACCCTATTATGAGAATGTTTTATTACAGATGAAGTGAGACCAACAAAGAACTGAATCAGGGCTCATTTCTCCATTATGCTAGGCATTGTACAAACATTTATTAAATGGACAGTCATGCCATGCTGCTTACAGTAGAAATCCCCAATCCTGCAATAAATTCCATGTATGCAGGCCCCTTCACCTATACAGAGCCCACTGACATCAAATATGATATGAAGGACTTAATATATTAACAAATTCTTATCATATAGAAGTCAGAAGGACTACATAGGCGCAGGGATCTGTCTATCCGTACGGAGCTCACTGCAGGCTCAAGTTTTACAATAGGTATATGTGGGAGGGGGAAACGGGAGGTTGAAATGGGAAGAGAAGGGGGATGGGCATCACAATACATATCTTGGAACAGTGAACACTGGCCACGGCTTGCCAGCTAGGAAGAAACCTGGAGCACTACCAGCTGGATTACGCATCATCGAAGCAACTACAGTATTCTCTTCACAGAGGTTTTTTTTTTCCTCTTTTGTTTGCGCTTTGTTTTAAATTCCATCCTTCTCCCTCCCCTGCAAACAAGTAAAGGAGAATTTCAAACTGAGGGGAAGGTACTGTTCACCAAATGATTGCAGAAGGTTCATCATCTTGCATTAGCACCTTTATATGAAATTAGCCATTTTCTGTCATTTCATATCAACATCCTATCATATCAACACTCATTTTAGTTGGCAATATATGAAAATAAATCATATTAGCAGCGTCTTCATTGCTCGTGAAAACAAATCCTTATCTGATGATAATACAGTATGAGAGGAATTTGTTAATATCATAAATCTTTCATATTACAAGTACTAATTCAAAGCTGCATTTTCTGCCTTTGCAGACTCACTTTCAAGATTGTCTGGAAGTATTAGAGAATGGTATGATTTTTGTGATTGTGAGTAAGGTCCTGCTTGTCTTTAGGGTCACCTTAGGTTTTGACAAACAGGAGAAAGTTCCTTTTGGGAGGAAATGTCCTATTAGCTACACCATTCTGCCTCTCAGATAATAAGGGCTATCAGTCTTCATGCCTGAAGGCATAAATTAAATGGATCACCAGGTAGGGTCAGGAAGAAATTTCCTACATGATATTGTACAATTCTAAGAGTTTTAGGTTTTATTCTGAAGCACCTGGCATTAGACAGTATTGGAGATAGGATATCAGAATATGTAGGTTGCTGGTCTGTTCCAATATGGCAGTTCTCTTTTTATCATTCCTTTGAGATATCAAGCTAGGTGAAATGGTCCTCTTTGATCCAAATTTTGCAGCTAGAAACTGGATGACCACACCGAGCTATCACACATGGAGTAGCATGGCCCTGGACTAACTCCAGAGACAGTTTCACAGTCACCAGAAGTGCTATCAGGAAAGTGGCCAAGAGACTGTATAAAAACAAGTGTAAGAATCGGCCACCAGGGTTAGGGTTATTGTGGGGTTTGGCATCTGGGCCTTGCACCTGCCAAGAGAGCAGGAGTTCATTCAACCCTTTGATCAACAGAGAGATGCTGTGCAAAAATTATCTTTGAACTACATCTCTGGGCTTCCATTTGCTTGCAGCTACAGATGGTCATGAGTCACAAAGTTGTAATCTGGATTGGAAGAAACAGTGACTCTGAGATATGGGGAGCTGCTTTATATCAAGTTTCGTCATGTCTCTGTTAGTCTCTTCTGTCCAACTGTATTTGTTTATTTTTTATCATTAGGCAGTTGATATCTGGACATATTTGACAGGAAAACATAATATTGAGGGGAAATATCACTTTAGATCCAAGTGCTGCAGTAGTTAAAAGGTTTTTTTCTTAATTGGAAGTAAAAATGCATGTTTGACCTTTGTGTGGTTTACAAAAATATATCTCATACTTAACTGACCAGAAGTGCTGGGTTTATGTCCTAATACTGTAAAGGGAAGTGCTGCAAAAGGGTCAGCCTTATCTTTTGTATCAAGTGCATAAGTTCATCTACCCTAAAAGAATATCACACACTAACCAAATTCAGGTATTTATATATCTAAATTAAACCCTCCAATTCCCTCCTCTGTTTAAAAAAAACAAAACAAAGAAAAGCTATAGTACCTCATAGTGTTTCTAAGGATTTGTAACCAAAATGAAGGTGGATGGGGGAAGAGGGGATCAAAACCTTTGCAGTAATATGCATACAGTGGATAATTATCTTAATACATTATGCAGCGGTAATGAGCACAATAAACCAGAAATGTGTTTTACAGGTCTGTATTCATACTGACTGGCTAAATACAGGGGATTAAGCTAAGTGCAAATCTTGGTTTAGATGGATGTTGTTTTTCCTCAAGAAAGGGAGAGCTCTAGCAAATGAATGGCTGTTCTCAGAAGGATTCCTATATAAACTCTGTTCCATTGCTGTTCTTTTAGCGTGATCCTTCAAACCTGTATTGCAAGGCTGGATGACTGTTTCAGGAGGCTGTGTGTTTCTGATAGATTGTATTTTTAATCCTACCTCACTGTAGGAACTCAAGCATCAAGGAAGGAAATTGTGGCTGTAGGAAGGTGATCATTTTATTGTACTTCTTGAAGCACTTCGTAATTTCGAGCCAAATTCTCCCTTTGCTTTCACTGCCGCTACCCTGAATGAAGTTCCTGGATTGGCTCCTGTGCAAATAATGGGAGAATTTGGCCCTTTGGTGGAACTGGCACACCTGAATGGCAGCGACTTTAAAAAAATCATGAAAGGCTCAATCTCAAGACCTCTTTGTTGCTGTTGGCTCCATCCTTAGCTGTGCAGTTGAAAGGGAAGCTGGCCTGGGACTCTGTGTCTGTTATTTTATGCTGAAAGCAGAATCTTTAGTCCTTTCTAAGTATTGGTGAGAACATCAGTGTAAATTTCTGCTGGCCTTTCATGAGAGACAGGACCAGGACTACATCTTTCAGATGCTCCCAAACCCAATTTGTAGAGCCCTGAAGAAAAACTCACCTTCCAGGGACTGAGTGATGACAACTAACTTGATCATCCAGTTATTAAGGATTAGCTTGGGACCGTCTCATTAGCAGACCAGTATCATTGTATCAATCAACCTAATGTCGCCACCTCTCGTAAAAGTTACTCTGCCTAGCAATGGTGTATATTTTCTGCCCACTATTGCACGTGGTGCAAGGAATTCTGAGACAGTACAGTCCAGATTTAGATTTGGTGCTCCATCTTTAGTGAGAACTTCTCTGTTTGAAACATGAGAAAATAGTGGTGGAGTAAGCAATTTGAAATTTGTATACACACTGACTAACCATAACCTCTCAGAACAGGCATGTATTACACAGAGTTTATCTTTCTGCTGCTGCCTCTTTCCGACAGGCCCTTTTTCAAGCAACCTGCATTGCAACTCCGGTAGGAAGGTAATACACATTCTTTCAGAGTTTGCCACAGCCACCCTCTCACTTCTCAATTCAGTAACAGATTTACCCTGACACCTGTACACCTGTTGTCATGGAAACACGTTTCACTGATACATACTGAGTTTGCCTGAATAGTCCTTCAGACTCTGAACTGATGAGAACAGCCCCATGGTATCCATGTGCCACAAAAGTCGTATTCTGAGTGGTGCCAAGCACCTATAATTTCTTCCAATTCAATAGCTCGAACCATAGCAGGTTAGCTGACAATGTCACAATAAAGTGGTGTGGTGAAGAACAAAAGTAATGTCCTCAGGAAGTTAAATGTTTACAATATGCTATACGTGGGATTCACCTCTATCTGGAGGAGACACATTGCAATGGAGCTAAATCATCAGCATTTTTACTGCTTGTCTCACATCTCGCCAGCAGACTGATGGAAGGAATTCACCCAAACTTCATATGAGTGAGTACACGTAATTAAGGGTTTGTTTCTTCTAAAATCGCTGGAAAACTGTTTGACAATAGTACTGACTAGATTTAATTTAAGAACACAACAAACAAGCCGCTGTGATGTGTGCTGGCATTAATTCATCCAGTTAAACTTTTTATCAACCGATAGCAGAAAAACTCACCCCATTCTGTTTAAATATCTGTATATGTGTAAATATTCACAAATATAAAACAGCCAGGTTCTGATCTTGGTTACCATGGTATAAACTTCCCCAATAGAATTCTTCCAGATTTAAGCCACTACAAAGGAGGTCAAAAGCTAACCTTTAATTTCTGCTCAGTGTACATACAGAAAAGCTGGTAAAGCAGCAATCCCTTTTATTCCCCTGCCGTTTTTATATGCTGAGTAGGATCAAGTTAATTTTAGCCAGTGCTGAAATGGTTAATCCTCCTGATAGAGATGTGAAAATCTGGAACCATTTTAAACCTCAATACCACATACTGCCTTAGGGATCACAGAGTGCTAAAGCCTAAGATAAAAAGCCCTGACACGGATTATTGACGGTTTACCTTTTAATGAGCAGCTTGGATTGATTTTATTTCCCTCCTGAGTTGTTGGCTTTGCCTTGTTTCCACCCATGATGTCATGATTAACAAAACACACACATACACAAACTGAAGCTTCATAGATGAATAATTGCAAAGCTATGAAAACTAGCATAGGTATTAAAAAGAAACCTATGCCAGATCCTCTTGACCATAAGAACAGGTTGACTCATTGACTTCAACAGCTTGATACTTCTTCTTTTAAAGGAAATGGGCCTAGTCTTAAAAGGAGAGCAGAGGTTGGTTCTTCATTTGTACTCAGTTTTAAAAGTATTTTACCCTGCTGCAGCTAGAGAGAGATGTCACAAAAGACCCAGGTCAATGGAAAACACTCTTGGGGATTTCAGATGTATTTTTCAGTGTTTTTGTTGAAACAAACTTGCCAACCCAACAATAAAATAATGGAACAAACACCCTTATGGGCTGACTACATTCCCTTCAACTAGCTTAAATCTTAAACTTCAAAAGGGGGAGAAAAATCTATAAACACAAACTATCACCCAGAGAGCTTTTATATCACCTCTTCTATTCAGGTTCTAGCTACTAGAGCTGTCTGGAAAATGGAAATCCATTCCCTGAAAATATTCAGTGTTCCTTGGAAGTTTTTTCTACCCTGAATCAGGATGAAAAGTGAAAGTAAAAAAAGAGGATTTCCAGTGAAATTCCACTTTGAGAGAGCAGAAACCAAATTTTCCATCTTGTCTGTTTCCTGCCTGGAAGATTCTTGTTAATTCACTTTTTCCCTGCCAGCAAGAGCCTTCCAAGCAGGCAGCCATCATTTTCATTTTTCCAGTGCCAGAACTTTTTGTTTTTTTCCAAAATTTAAATTCTCCCACGGAAAATTTTGGTTTTTGAGAAGAGGGTGTTTTCCAATGGAATATTCCTGATCTGCTCCGATGGCATGGCACCTATTGCTGTGGTACAAGAGTGTCCCATCCTTCAAGGCAGGCTTGGGCAACTATTAGTTGCCCCGTAGGCTAATTGTTATAGTCAACAAAGGAAGAGGGGGTGGCTCCATTATTATTTATTTACTGTGTTGTATTATGGTCCTGCCTCTGAGCACAGTCATGAATTAGGACCTTTGGGCTAGGTGCTGTGAAAACACACAACAGAACAAACTGGCATAGCCCGATTGCAGTTGGAGGTAGGCAGACTTACCAAAGCTCAGGATCTGGCCCTGAATATGCTGGTTGAGGGCACTTAGAGCAGCTGCTGGTAGTCCTCTAAGGCCGTGAGTGAGTGGGTGCTGAATGACAGCACCACTTCCTTCACCGGGGCAGTTCCAGCAGCTGTGACTACGGATGACCTTTTGTGTCTGACGTGGACAGGAGGAAAGACTGGAGAGTGTGAACTTGAGGGGCTCTAGATTTCAAAAGTCTACAGGCTTCAGTATTTCCTGGAACTAAAATACCCCCGAAGATGCTGACCTTCTTTCTACCATGATGCCTATAGTGAATTGCCAATTGATAATGGCTTACAAGACTGAGTTTGCTGGGGGAGCGGACTGCCTCTTACTATGTATTTGTACCAAACCTTGCACATTGGGGCCCTGATATGATTAGAGCGGACAGTAAGCAGATTTTGCCTTTCTTTTTAAATTGCTGCATTGTGTATATATTTGCTTGTTGCATGTTTTCGGGCTTTTTTGGGGGAGGCAGGGGAGGGCTTCTACTTTTTTTGTTTTGTTTTTTGTTTAATTTCCCACTGGAGAGCATGATTGGCTCTTAGTTGCGCGATCCTCTTCTCTGCACATGACAGAGCTAAAAAAAAGTTTAAAAGGCTGCTTTCGGTTTGATTTAGTGTGTTAAAGCCCAAGGATTGTCAGTAGGAAAACCCAGGCCCTCCCACTCCTCCGGGTTACAACCCAGGGCCTGGGAGCAGGCAGTTCAGGTGTACGACAGTTCAGCCTATTCCTGGGTTACTCCCTACCACATCCCTGACTCTCCAGAAGCATGCTGAAGGCCTGGCTAATGGCCCACAACATGTCCCAAAGAGTATCAAGAGGTTACCTTCCTCGCTCACCAGCTTATGCTCAGCTCTCTCTTCTGCAGTGGCTTGCAGCTCTGAGTTAAGGTCCCCTTCAGGGCAGTGTGGGGCTCCGACTGGATTCCTGCAGGAGCTCTCAGTGAAGGTCTGCTCCCTTGCCCCGATCACCCTGACTGAGTTGTGCTGCTCCCTTTTACGCTTGAAGCAGCCTATAACCAGAGCTGCTCCTTAACCTCCTGTTCCCCAGTGTGGGGTTTGTACACCCCAGCACAGCTGCAGAATATCTGTCTAGTCACCAGTATTAGAACGCACCATTCTCCTACCAAATGAGGCATCCAAAAAAATGGGAAAATGGGACAAATAAAAGAAACCTCACCTTCTGTCACCACCTGAAATTCACCTGGTGATATTAAATGCACCCAGACAGAGCCACTGGGGAAAAGACAAGGAGTCTTGTGACGTTAGGGAGAATTTCTATCCAAGTAAGCCAGCACAATATATTTGTTAACATTTAACGTGAGGGAGGGAAAATTTCCTGTTACACACACACACAGACATGCACACACGTTGTGCCTTGTAATTGAGCTTGTGGAAGTATTTTTAAAACCTTCAAGTCCTCTGTGTATCAGTAGTTCGTGCCAAAACACAAGCAATAGTGTTTATGCCCCATGTTATGTCTCACTGCACAGTTTATCCCAATCCAGGCATAAACGACCACTGCCAAAGCAACACTGATTTGCACCCACATCATAGCTGGCTCTGGGCCAGTCACAGGCCCTACACAGTAACTATATGTACATTACTCAGGCCAAGAGTATGAGTGATCTAAGCAGGTAGGGTACATAGTAATTGGTGGGAAGCATGGACGTGGAGTCCATGCTACAGCCATTGACCTTGGGACACCACTCTGCAATGCTGTGATTGTTCCCTGTTTCCCTGCTGGTCATAGTTTCGGGGGCAAAAATAAACCAGAATTTGCATCCAGATTCTCAGCTGGTACAAGTGTATGGATCTCCACTGAACTCAATAGAGCTACACTGATTTACACCAGCTGAAGAAGTGGTTCCATCTCAGGATTTAGGATAATGAAAAAGAACCTAGAGTTAATGCCAAACAAAATAAACATTTTTTGTCCCTATTTTCTTTAAACAGTGAAAGAATATGGTTATGCATGAACAGAGTCCCCCAGCGTTTGACAGAGCTTGATAGGACAAGGAGGAATTAGATGATTGCCTTAGTGCTGGCAGCTATTGACTATACAGTGGAACAGAAGAGTTGCAGATAAGGAAGTGAGAAAATGCAGTGTCATGCAAATAAGACAACCCCAATTTTTTCAGCCACAGACACTGTGGAACTCCCTTACGAATGTGGTCCAGCAATTTTCCGTCACCACTTGTATGGTCTGTATTTCAGATAGAAGCACCTAATGAAAGCAAAGAGATTTATACTATTTTTTTTTAATCAGCACTCTCTGTGTAGGCTAAGCAATACAAAGCGAGCTACAGTAATTCCTCGCTTAAAGTCATCCCGGTTAAAGTTTAGTTATTAAGTCGCTGTCCTATTACAGAACACGCTCAATCAAAATTGTGCCATGTTCAGTTAGAATGGCCTCCACCCCAGCACCTCCCACCCGCTGGCAGGCCCCGCGGATCAGTGCATCCCCCCTCCCTCTCCACTCCTCCCACCTGCCACAATCAGCTGTTTCATGGCGTGCAGGAGGCTGGGAGGGAGGAGTGAGGACGCAGTGTGCTCAGGGAAGGGGGCGGAATTGGGCAGGAAGAGGCAGGGCGGGGGTGGAGTGGCGGCGGGGAGAGATGGGGCCTGGGGCCTTGCAGGGGGATAGAGCACCCCCTGGCCGTTTGAAAAGTCAGCGCCTGTGGCCCCAGAAGCCTATGGCTGTCTCCAGCTCTGCAAGGATTTACAGGCCCAGTGCCTCTGCATTGTATGTCTTGAGCGTACCGTGAAACCTGGCAGATTGGTTCCCTTAGGAGGTGACTGGTCTCCCCAGCACCCCACAGGGTGGGGGGCGTTCAGTGACTAACTGGAGCGGGCATTTGTGTGATCTGCTGCTCAGAGGCTGGCAGACACATCCCCATTGGGTGCTGGGGAAGGATGCAGCACAGCGTCCCTTCCTTTGTGCTGTCACTTGCCTGCTCTGCCTGGCTCCTGTAATGAGCCCAACCCTGCAGAGCTTGCATAGGGAGGACTCTGCAGGCCTAGGAGTGGGGGTGTTGTTGGCCCATACCCTCACCAGAGCTCTGGGGCCAGAGGATATTCACTTACCTACTCACAGCTGTGAGAGTCAAACCACGTATACTGTCTTTTGTCTGGCAAAAAAACTTAGAGTGACTGTGTACATAATTATGGACACACATCATGCCAACAGTTGCAAGCACACTTCCCTAAAAATCGGTGCTAGAA